GATACTATCATGATGGGGGTTAAGTTTCAACAAGTGAATTTGGGTGGAATACATACACTCAAACTGTAGCACACATTGTATGCATTTGGTGGGCTAATATGGTTACTACCAAAGAAAGCAATAATCGTGGCAGTTCTCATTAAAAACAAACAAACTTGTTTTTTAAATAAAATAAACAAACTTTTATTTATCTTTGAAAGGCAGAGTGATTTGGGGAAACAAAGATCTTCATCCACTGGTTCACTCCCCAAATGGCTGCATGGCCTGGAATTTAAGCCAAAGCCAGGAGCCCAGAACTCCATCCACGTCTCCCATATGAATGGCAGGGACCCAAGTACTTGGGCCATCTTCTGCTTTCCCAGGTGCATTAACAGGAAGCTGGATCAGAAGCGGAGCAACTGGGACTTGAACTGGCACTCCAATGTATGATGCAGGCATCTGCTGCCCCACAGTGCTGGCCCTAACTCCCATTTTTTGAACATCTCATATATGTCAGACACTTTTAAACTTTTATCTAAGTTTAAAAATTATCTCACTTCATTCTTGCAACAATTCTATGAGATACTTTTAGTATTTTTGTTCTTACAGATGAAGCAATTATACTTAGCCAAGTTACTTACCTTCCCAAGGCTCCGTTCCCTCATCTGGTTAGGGACAATAACATCTAGCTTCTTTGGCTGTTGTGAGGATTAGAGACAAGGTAGAACATCATCCATATTGCATGGTGGGCTCAGACGTAGCCACTGGGTGCAGCTCCAGAAACTGGCCCACAGTGAAGAAAGGCAGAGGCAGGGCTGTTGCCTATAACCACAAAATCTATGCCCAACTCAGAGAACTGCCTCATGCCTGCAGCCCTGTGACCTTCTTACTTGGCACTAAGTTGGCTTCACCTATCAAGTTCTGTTTACTCCTTAAGGGAATCCCTGTTCTTGTTTCTGATTTTATTTCTAGTTGATAACAAAATCTGTATTTAGGATGATTCTAAAAGTTAACTATTCTCAGGGTTGTGGGCACTGGAAAGTAACCTCCAGTGAGATCAGGGCTTCCAAGGGAAGAAATTAATGCATATCTCTTGGATGAACTAGAAGGGAAGAACTTTGGTTTGTGGGGAGACTCGAGTGCAACTGTGAGACCTATTATAGGGGTCTTCACGACCAGCTTCTTTTTACTTGCTGATGCCTACCATCTTCCAAGGACTTCAGAAACACTGTTTCTGTCCCTATCAATCTGCAAGGTAAACATTACCACCAGTTCTGCCTCTTCTTTGCTGAATGACAAAAACATTGGTTTGGGATTATGTCTGGCCTCATCACTTATGGTTGTATGATGCTGGAACATATTGTATAACCTTGCTGAACTTCAGCTTTCCTACCTGCTGTGGCTTGGATGCTGAATGTCCACCAAAGACCCATATGTTAAAGGTTTGGTCCCAAAATGCTGTTTATGGCACTAAGAGAGTGGAAATTTAATCTAATTATGGTGTTTGAAGGCGTTGGATTGGGTTGTTTGGGTGGAACCCCAGTGATGAAATCCTGGTGCTGTCTAAGAGATCCTACAAACATGGCCACATGCATTCCCTCTGGCCGTGGGTGCTCTGTGCCAACTGAGGACTCTGCCAGCAAGAACACCATCACTAAAGGCTGAACCAGTAGGGCCTGACTGAGCATAGACTGTGAATCTCCAAAGCCATGAGTTGAAACAAACATTTCTTTATTCTTTTTTAAAAGATTTATTTACTTGAAGGGCGGAGTTACAGAGAGGCTGAGGCAGAAAGAGCTTCCATCCGCTGGTTCACTCACCAAGTGGCCCATTTGCCAAGTAGCCACAACGGCTGGAGCTTGGCCAATCCAAAGCCAGGAGCCAGGAGCTTCTTCCAGGTCTCCCACATGGGTATAGGGGCTCAAGGACTTGGGCCATCTTCTGCTTTCCCAGGCCACAGAAGAGAGCTGGATCAGAAGAGGAGCAGCCAGGACTCGAACTGGTACCCATATGGGATGCCGGCACTGCAGGTGGCAGCTTTACCCACTACACCCCAGCGCCAGCTCCAAAACAAACATTTATCAAGTTAGTTGCCTCAGGTATTTTGTTGCAGTATGAAAAGCTGACATACACTACCTATAAGCCAGGGTTGTTGGGTTAAATGAGAAATGTATATATAGCTCAGTATACACAGGCATTTTAGAAGTGTTTTCCCCCTTACACCCTTTTTTTCTTTACTGTAATATGTCTGGCCTTGTGGTGGGTACAGAAAACAGAGATGACTCAGACCAAGTCCCTTCTCAACTTCTAGGGGCTGGATTTTTCCTCAAAGTGAAGGAGCAAAAGGTCTGGGGCAAAGTGAGATGGGTTAAAACAATCCATTTGTTAGGACATGTCTTAGGTAAGGCAAGATGGCTGTCTACTTTCTTCTTCTCCAGCACTCTCCTCCCCTGCACTCAACTGCCCAGTGTTGCAGATGTTGAAGAACAGTGAGTGGATACATAAGAAGGTGGGGAGTAAAGTTATTAAAAGCCAAGGGGGCTAAATGTTAGAAATGCCAAAAAGGCATAATAAGTAACAAAGCTGAATCCATACCAGCAGGGTGGGCATTTAGCCTGGCAGTTCGGATACCCACATTCCGTAACAGAGTACCTGGATTCATGTCTCAGCTCTGGTTCCTGATTCCAGCTTCCTGCTAATGTGCACTCTGGGGATCAACAGGTGATGGTTCAAGTACTTGGGTCCCTGCTACCCATCTGGGAGACCCTAAGTGAGTTCCTGACACCTGATTTAGCCTAGATCAGCTCTGGCTTTTGTGGGCATTTAGGGAGTGAACCAATAGGTGGGAGATTTCTATTTCCAAAAAAATTTTTTTTTAAATCCATGGCATTAGCAACTGGGACAGAACCAGCACCCAACCAGGACTAGAATCTGGAGTGCCGGCACTGCAGGTGGAGGATTAGCCTAGTGAGCTGTGGCGCTGGCCGATATAAGGATATATTTTATAATCATTGGACTCTATGTTTTATCTATCACATAGAGTGTTTGAAATGTTTAAAGGATCAGCTATACTTAATTTGAAATTGATACCTATGTTTAAGGCAGTTTAAATTTCTTTAAATATTCAAGAGATGGAGCCGCCACTGTGGTGTAGCAGGAATAATTTAGGTTCGGGGCTGCCACTATGGCACAGTGGGCTAAAGCCCCAGCCTGCAATGCCAGCATCCCATGGGGGTGCTGGTTCAAGTCCTGGTTGCTCCACTTCCAATCCAGCTCTCTGCTGTGGCCTGGGAAAACAATAGAAGATGGCCCAAGTCCTTGGGCCCCTGTACCTGCATGGGAGACCGGGAAGAAGCACCTGCCTCCTGACTTCGGATTGGCGCAGCTCTGGCCGTTGCGGCCAATTGGGCAGTGAACCAGCGGATAGAAGACCTCTCTCTCTCTCTGCCTCTCCTCTCTCTGTGTAACTCTGTCTTTCAAATAAATAAATAAATCTTTAAAAATAAATAAATAAATATTCAATAGGTTTTCAGTGTTTATTGGATAGTTTAATAAATTGGGTCCTAAAGTTTATGCAATAATGTATATTCCTCTCAGATTCAAAGGCCCCTCAGACATTAAACTGTTGCTCCCCCACTCGCGGCGGAACGACACCGGACACTGTTTTCTTTCCCCGGTCCTTCCCGGATTTGCTGCCGCTCCCCTGCTTTCGCGGAGGAGCGGCACTAACGAGCTCTCCCACCGACTCTCTCAGGGCCCCCCCCCCCCCCGCATGGTGTCTCTCTCTCTCTTTTATAGTCCTCTCCCACCAATCCGTGCTCTGCTGCCCACATGCTGAGCACGCTGATCAGAAATCAGCTAATTGACAGGGCAGCTGTGTAAGATTTGTTTACTCTCTCAGCGCCAAATGATGGGAGATCAGGTGCATAGAGTTAGTCTTAATAATCTCAGTGGTCTAGTCTAGTCTCGGTAGTCTCAGTACTTATTTCGCCATGTTGTGGGAGACAGGCCCTGCTCCCCACATTAAACAATCTAGTAAAATGTGCAAAAATAAAATAGATCATGAGATTTCTTTTTTAATTGTATAATTATTAAAAAATTAAAAATTTTTTATTTATTTTCATTCTATTTGAAAGGCAGAGAGAAATTGGCAGACAGAGATTTTCCATCTGATGGTTCATTCTTCAAATACCTGCAACAGCCAGGGGTGAACCAGGCCAAAGTCAGGAGACTGAAACTCCATCCAGGGCTGCTGTGTGGGTGGTAGGGACCCATGTATTTGAGCCATCACCTGCTGCCTCTCAGGGTATGCATTAGCAGGAAGCTGGATCAGAAGCAGAGTAGCCAAGACTTGAACCAAACACTCCAATATGAGATGCAAATATCCCAAGAGGTGACTTAACTCTGACACCAATTTCATGCCCTACAAAACTATTTTTAAGAGACAAACTAGCTGGGGCCGGTGCTGTGGCATAGTAGGTAAAGCCACCACCTGCAATGCCAGCATCCTATGTGGATTCTGGTTTGAGTCCTGGCTGCTCCACTTCCAATCCAACTTTCTGCTATAGCCTAGGAAAGCAGTGGAAGATGGCCCAAGTCCTTGGGCCCTTGCACCCGCATGGGAGACCTGGAAGAAGTTCCTGGCTCTTGGCTTCAGATCAGCATGCCTCCGGCCATTGCGGCCACTTGGCAAGTAGGCCAGCAATGGAAGACACCCCCCCACCCCCGCCTCTTCTCTGTGTAACTCTTTCAAATAAATAAATAAATCTTAAAAAAAAAAAAAGCTCACAACATCATGCTGCCACATCAGTCACGGTAATCCCTGACCTGCCTGTCTTATCAGATAACTATGTTCAAACAATAATGTGCAAAAGTACAAAGAATTATTATTAATAAAGCTTTCTGAAAACAAAAGTTCTTATGAAAAGAAGAAATTGCTTCAAATGCATTTTTTGAAAGAAGCTGGAAACAAACTAGATATTAGGACCATAATCAGCTCTCAGTTTAACAACAGACACTAGTCACCAGAATCAAGCTCTTTATTTATCTTTCATGTTTCAAAGAGTGGCAGGAGTTGCATGGCACAGAGAGTATTTGTAACACTGGGCATCACAGAGCAGACACACAACACACTGAGCCACAGTATCTCTACTGAAGTCCTACATGAGAGGCAATTGTAGAAAACCCACTCGAGGGCAGAGGGGACATGGCAGTGAAATGCCATGAAGGAATGCCTTTGGGCTTGGGGCATCTTCCACAGGACATCTAGACAGAGTCAAGCCTAAACCAGAATTAAAGCCCATTTCCAGGCAGTGCTATGACCAGGGAGCTGGCAGCAGACAACACTCATTCAGAGTGAGTGCAAAGAGGTCTCAAATGATTTGCAATCCAGGAGGCAACATCTTCCACCCTGGGGCAGAGCTTCCCTGGCCTCCTCAATATGCTCCACAAGGCCAAGCACTGTTGATGCATTCATTCATTCAGCAGAGCTTTATTGCTACCTACTCTGCATCAGGCCCTATGCTGGTTACAGAGGACACAGAGAGGAATCAGACACAGTCCTTACCTTCAGGGAATTCAGGATAGGATAGAAAAAGCATATATTTATAGGTAAGCCATTGGTAAAAAGATAAAAAGGACATAGAGAGACATCTACAGCCCAGCAGAGGCCCAGAGGGCACAACACAGACAATAACACAGGTAGTCTGTGGTAAGGCTCAAGGGGGAACTCAGACCATGAACCTTGGCAGCAAAAAGAATGACACAACATCTATCTGAATAATGTAGTGGGAAAACTTGGGGAGTACTGGAGAAGAGGGAACAGCCTAATCTGCCAAAGTGGAGATATCAAATCCTACAGGGGCTGTGGTTTGGATATCAGTCTGGGGGTGTCCCAAAGACCCCTGTATTAAAGGCTTGTCCTCAGGTCAGTGCTACTGGGGGGTGGCAGAAACTTCAGCAGGTGGGGCCTAGTAAGTCCTCAGGTGTCTGGGGGTGTGTCCTCAGAAGGTAGTTCTCACCAGAGGGCTGTTATAAAGCCTGAGCTTGGGTCCAACCTGTCTTCTCTGCTTCCTGGATATGATCCTTCCTTCCCATGCACCCCACCATTGCACCCAAACCCTGACTAGAACCAAAGTCTGCATCATGCTCTTTGGACTTTCAGCCTCTCAAACTGTGAACTAAATAAACCTTCCTTTGCTTTTTAAGTAGATTTTCTCAGGTATCTTGTTGTAGTAACAAAAAGCTGACTAATATGACTGCCCTTGGTAGAAGACTGTGGGCTCAGGTGGACTTCTATAGGTCGTCTGTGCTTCCCAACAGGCAGGGTAAGTTTCTTACCTCTAACTGTAGCTGCATGATATTCTGTGGCTGAGGGGAAACTGATGATCATGAGAAACAGGTCCAGATAAAAGTACCCAAACAACAAGGGCCTGAGGTAATTATTGGGAGCTGAGGAGGTGAGGAGCATGAGCAGAGCCAGAAGGTTCAATGGATAGGAAGTTGGTCTGGGTAGATACCAGCAGCAAGAGGCCCCTAACCATACTTTCCTGCACTGTCAACGGTGGGCCATCTGTGCTGTATGGATTCATTCTAAACACACAAAGGGAAGAGTGGGAAGCTTCAGAAGGCAAAGAACCATAGTCCATAATAATCCTTTCTTCATGCTTGTATAGACTATTGGCTTCCCATGAGCTTTCTTCTTTTCTTCACAGCTGCCATCACCTGCCTTGTCTTTCCTACTCTACCAGTCTGAAAGTGGCTGAAATGGGCTCAGGGGACCAGTATCATGTATAGGTCCCAGGGCCCTGGAGGTCTTGGTGATTGATACAAAAAGAGTTGGAGTGCCTAAAGCTGTCTTTGTTGGCCACCTGGAACATGGGCAAGTTGAGCTAGCTACAAGTTACAGGGTTGGGTAGGACTCCTTCTGCAGACTAAGCTGCTGGCCTGTCCACGTCTCTCCCTTTTCACAGATATCAGGGAACAGCTCCAGCCTGTTGTCACTTGTTCTCCACAGCAGCTGCCACCTATGCCATATCTTTAGCCTAACACTCATGTCTGTGTTACTCTCCCTTTGCTGACAGGTGCCAGGATTCCTATCCACCATTCTTGCCTCACAGCTGCCATCACCCATCCTGTTCTCACTCTAGTCCTAATTCTTGATTTCAGCTATGTCCCCAACCCTCTTTTCTTACTATCCTTAAAATAAATTAATAGACTCTTTCCCATTAATAGTTTTACTGCTAAATGCTAAGGAGAAACAAACATGAGTCAAATGGAAAGGAGTTAGGAGAAGGCAATTTAGAGACATGGGTGTCTCCTGAGTTCTGGATTTGAAATCTGGTTCACACTGGCATGTGACTGAGGTCCTGGGCTGGCGCTGTGGCTCAATAGGCTAATCCTCCACTTGCGGCGCCGGCACACCGGGTTCTAGTCCTGGTCGGGGCACCGGATTCTGTCCCGGTTGCCCCTCTTCCAGGCCAGCTCTCTGCTGTGGCCAGGGAGTGCAGTGGAGGATGGCCCAAGTGCTTGGGCCCTGCACCCCATAGGAGACCAGGAGAAAACACCTGGCTCCTGCCTTCGGATCAGCGCGATGTGCCAGCCACAGCGCGCCGGCCACAGCAGCCATTGGAGGGTGAACCAACAGCAAAAGGAAGACCTTTCTCTCTGTCTCTCACTGTCCACTCTGCCTGTCAAAAAAAAAAAAAAAAAAAAGAGTGACTGAGGTCCTTCCCTGACTCCCTTCTTGGAGAGTCCTAAGGAAGTCTTTATATTCTCATTCTCTTAACCTTTCTTTTGCCCTGGTTAAAGAGCATAGCCATCATCCCTATTTCAATCTACTTGGGGTACAGTGCTCAGGAAAACTTTACTGAGTAAAGAGTCGCTACCCTTCAGAAGAAAGCTGCCCTTTTAATCCCTCCTTTCCCCAGTTCCTCCCTGCATCACCAGCTCTGCCCACCACTAGGCCCCTGCTGCCCTCCATTTGCCAACATGATATGGAGGTCTTCCCTGACAGTGGGCTTCACATAGGAAGTAGAGGGAAGTATTTATCCATTAATTCATCCACCAATTGGAAGGTTCTGTGTGTTAGGCTAAATGTAAACATCCTTTAGCAAGCAATGGGGAAGCACAAATGACTGTGGACCAAGGAATGACAATAGAAACTACTTTGCATTATGCACAGCTACTTAAGAAATATTTGGATTAACGTACACATAAGTGAATGGATGATCTTGTGAATTGGGGAGATTATTTTAGCAAATGTATGAGAAACTAAGGGAATTTATAAAAGCCACTCTAAGGGCTAGCGCTGTGGCATAGCAGGTAAAACTGCTGCCTGTCATGCCAGCATCCCATGTGGGCACCAGTTCAAGTCCCAGCTGCTCCACTTCCAATCCAGCTCCTTGCTAATGTGCCAGGGAAAGCAGTGGAAGATGTCCCAAGTCCTTGGGCCCCTGCACACATGTGGGAGACATGGAAGAAGCTTCAGGCTCCTGGCTTTGCATTGGTCCAGCTCTGGCCATTGCAGCCACTTGGGGAGTGAACCAGCAGATGGAAGACCTCTCTCTCTCTGCCTCTTTCTCTCTGTAACTCTTTCAAATAAATAAATAAATAAATAAATATTTTTAAAAAGCCACTCTAAAATATGGACTTAAACAATATGCCAAAGTAGGGAAAGTTAACCTCTACTTTTCACCCTGTAGGACTGTCTTTCACCTGACTGGTGCAAGTCCAAACCCTAGCCCCTTTAGCTGCATTCTATGACTAAGATTTGCTCACCATGGTCATTACCCAGCACCAAAAATACTGATACCAATTTAAGGCATTAACCTCCTAAAATGTGACAAACAATAAATCGTGATAGAATTTATGCCACAGTAAGTCTATGGGGGGATACAATCTAAGATAGGAGAATTCTGGTATCATCTGAGAGACCCAACACCAGCTAAGTTCAGCCCCAAAACTCTTAGAGAAGCTTCTCCATTTCACAAGTAGGCTCAAACAAATAGGATTGATACAGAAGCTTGGGAATCCAGAGACCTACTTAAATGGAGAAGACCTCCTCAGCTGGAAAAGGCGTGGCTAGCCCAGAACAGCATTCTGAGAAAGAGAAACCCAGGGGAAACCCAGCAGCCTACACAAGCCCCTTGGCTGATGAATCCAGGCTTACTGAAGATGCAACTAAGCCAATGCTATCAGGAGCTACCATCACCCCAACTTATAGCCCAACATCTACAAACCATCCCACAAGCTGCATTTGTCTTCTTGAATTTTCTTCTTCTTCTAATCCCTTAAACTGTGGGCTCCTTGAGGGTAGAGACTGCTAAGTTTTGTCCACTGTTTAAAAGTCTTAACCCATATCCTTTTCCTTTCAGGAACCATCCTAATAAATAAACTCCAGGCTCATCTTTGATCATCATAATGACATCAGAAGCAATAAACATCATTATTAAGGACTACTGATAATGAACTTCTTGTTTTTCTTCCTGGGAAATGCTGCTTTCTGGATGAGAAAGAGAAGGTTGAGCAGAGTTGCACGGCTAGAGAAGGTAGGTGACCTCATGATTCTACTGTTTCACCTAATTACTCTAGGATAGAGTTTTGAGCATGATTAGGAGGGTGTGATGCTTTTCTTATGAGAAATGGAGGAAGACATCCAGATCATCCTTTTTTCCATGTCGTCTGCTTATAACCTCACATTCAGTGAGGGGCGAATCAATTGAAAAGGTAAGTCCTCTGTGTTCTACTTTGGGATCTGAATTCTTTATGGATCCAGAACTTGAAGCATGTTTTTAGGGATGGATGGGAAGACAAAAAAATCACAAAACCAATACAGATGGAAACCTGAGGTCCACAGAGTTCGACTGACATTTCCAAGGTCCTAAAGCAAGCCAGTGACAGAGCCAGGACTACATCAAAGTCTGCCAACTCTCAGTTCAGTGCTCTTTCCACTGCAGTAGCTAGCTATGGCAAAATTTTCATTTTGCCCTTTGTAAGAGGAGAAATGAAAAAAAGTTAGCAGAATATTAACTTCTTTGCTTTATAGGCTTCAGTAACCTCTGTTGTTCTCATTGTGGCTGTCATCCCCTTCCATAGAAAGTTGGAGCATAAGCCAATTAGTCTTGAATTAACTCAGGTTCCCTATCAGGGCTGGTGTAATCCCCCTGCATGTGGCTCAGGATCTCTCGGTCTGTAAACAGGCGGAAAGCAATCTGCTCACACTCCCGCTTGATCCCACACTCAAACAAACATGCAAGCAAGCCCTCCTCCTCCAGAACAGCCAGATCAGAGTAGCCACAGGGTCCACAGTGCAAGATCCAGGGTTGGGACCAGCAGGCAGTGTCCAAGGGGTTCTGGTTGAGGTAGATGCCTAGGTTGATCCTCCGTTTCTTACTGGTAGGGTGTGAATACAACAGCCATGACTCTGCCAGCTGTCCAGCTTCCTCCTTCAGCCTCAGTGAACTGTCAAGCAGAGGGCTCTTTTGAATGGTGGGAGTACCTTTGCCACTAGGGATCTGGCTCCTATGTGAGATCTCTGGAGACCTGAAACTCACCACACTGCCTTGGCAGCCATGTGGGGGTTCACAGAGTTGTGGGCTCAAGACCTGTCTCTGAAAGCATTCACCATGGTCAGTGCTCAGAGCCTCTGCCCGGCATCTGTTGGGTGTTCGGGCACTGCAATAGAGCACAGTTTGTCCATCCTTCCTAGTTACCTCTGCCACTTGACACTCCACTGTCACCATGGGCCTAATGAAACTGCCATGGTGCCATGTGCTCCCTAGGTCATCACTGTAAATCATCAGGGAATGAGGTCTGGTTTTGCATGGTAGCCGGAAGCAATGGAACCAATGAGGGATATAGTAGGCGTATGCAGGGATGACCAGCCTCCCTGATTGTAGCTGGATACCATGACCTGGGCCCACAGCAAATGTGGCCCAGTGCTTCACCTCTGAGCCAATGACCTCCTCAGTCAAGTCCCTCACCTCACTCCACGAACATCCAGCATCCTGACTGCAGATGAAGCAAAGGCGGGCAGCATTCCTGCCTGACACAATCTGTTCACGCTCGGTGACATGACCCTGCACACAGATAAAGAATAGGTACACGTGACCACTCTTCTGCTCCCACACAGGACAGGGGTTCATGGTTCGATGCCCAGGTAATGTGGCTTCCATCAGTGGCTTCAGGGGACCCCACTAGACAAGGGGAAAGAAAGAAAAAAAAAAAGAGGAGGTGTGAGATACTAATAGGAAGTTCATTAATAGTTCATTAAAAGCATTAGGGCCCTGGCAGATGTTTGGCATAAATGTTATGACACTAGTTGGGATACCCACATCCCATATTGTAGTCACTGGGTTCAAGTCCTGGCTTTGGGTCCTGATTTAAGCTTCCTGATAATGTGTACCATGGGAGGCAGTGGTGATAGCTCAAGAACTTGACTTCCTGCCACCCATGTGGAAAGAAACCTGGATGGAGGCCCAGCTCCTGGTTTTGGCCAAGCCCAGACCCAGTCACTGTAGGTATTTGGGAAATTGAACCAGTGGATGGGAGCTCTCCACATCTGTCTCTCTTCCCTCCCTCTACCTATCAAATAAAATTTTAAATTTTTCAAAAATTATGGTACACAAATGTTTTATTTTCAGTACCTGGCACATGATAGTAGCTAAATACTTTTTATAAAATACAAAAAGAAAAGGAAAGAAAGAAGGAAGAAAAGATGGAAGGAAGGGAGAGAAAGAAAGGAAGGGAGAAAGAGAGGGAGGGAGGGAGGGAGGGAAGGAGAGAGGGAGGGAGGAGAAAGAAACAGAAACAAAGACAGAGGAAGACATTTCCTTTCATATACATATTTGATGATATGAAAATACTTCCATAATATACTACTGAATAAACAAAGCAAAATAGGAAACAGTATGTAGTATGCTTGTTTTTACATAAGAAATGTAGAAGAAAGGAACTTCTAGTTACAACAAACTAAGTAATTGGACCAACCCTTCCACTGAGAACTAGAAAGAATATATGAAATATTAAAACAAAAAAATGTATGTTTGAAAACACCAGAGAGAAAATAAGGCAATGATGAATTGTAGTCCAAGAACTAAGAGCTCATTCATATTAGCCTGCTGTTTCAACTCCCTTTTCCCATAATAATCCCTACTGATTCTCAAAGATGTCACTGAAATGTTGAGAAGCCGAGTGATCCATTTGATAACCTTTTGAGGGTAGGAGGACAAAAAACAAGGCTCTGGTAAATGCTACATGATTTGAGATGAAGCCTTAAAGGGCTAAATCCTAGGAATAAGGATGGGACCAAAGCAGACCAGCCCCCTCAACAAGCACTCTAGCAAACTTGCTGGCATTATCTACTGCTGTGAATATATGCACCTGCGATGCCTCAGGAGCTCCATTCCTAAATCTATATCTAACCAAAATACACACCCATAGTACCAAAAATGCATACAAGAATATGCAGAGCAGAATTATCTCTACTCGTAATAATTAACCCAAATAGCCAACAACAGTAGAATAGATCAGTCGTGATATACTCATACGATGAAATTCATTCAACAATGAAAATTAACAAATTAGATATATACAACAATTTTGACAAACTGCAAGATACCAAACAAAAGAAGTCAGTCAGAAAAAACATATAGATTAAAAATAAGCAAAACTAAACTCTACAGCTATACATTAGCATAGTGATTACCTCTGGGAAGGAAACAGGGGCCATAGATAAGCTTCTCAGGCGCCAGCAGCATTCTGTTTCGTGGGATACTGCTAGTGAACTTAGCAGTGTGTTCACTACGATGGCTTTGTCATAATTCACTGAGCTCACATGCACGTTTTGTGTGTCTGACATTTATGTTTTATGCAAATGTTATTAATTCACATTTTAAAAGTTCCAGAAAGGACTATTCAGAAGATATATTTTTCTTTGCTTCTGTATGAAAGACACCCAAGAAACAATAGACACAGTCTATAGGAGGCAGGGAAATGGGAATAGGATATGCAGTCATTTCTGTATCTGCAGGGGATTGGTTCTAGGACACCTCCGCCCCCATCCCATGGATACCAAAATCTTAAAAATGGTTAACATATGGGGCCGGCACTGTAGCATGCTTCCTCGTGCAGTGCCAGCATCCCATATGAGTGCTGGTTCATGTCCTGGCTGCTCCTCTTCCAATCCAGCTCTCTGCTTATAGCCTGGGAAAGCAGTAGAAGATGGCCCAAGTATTGGAACCCTGCACCTGTGTGAGAGACCTGGAAGAAGCTCCTGGCTTCAGATCAGCCCAACTCCATTTGGGGAGTGAACCAACCAATGGAAAACCTTTCTCTTTCTCTCCCTCTCTCTGTCTGTAACTCTACCTCTCAAATAAATAAATAAAATCTTTTTAAAAATGATTAAGATGGTAAATTTTATGTTAGATACATTTTTCCACAATTAAAAAGTGAAGGTTTTTAACTGACTTGCTACACAGTATTTAAGATAGATTTAAGATAGTAAATTTTATGTTAGATATATCTTTCCACAACTTAAAAATTTTAACACAAAATATAAAAAAAAAAAAACTTGGAGGTTTTTTTAACTGACCTTCTATACAGTATTAATCAACTGTGTAATGAAGCTCCCCAGAAAGTAAATGCCATTTTGTATCAGGCTTAATACAAAGATACAAGATGGAATAATCCACATCACTGCTGAGATGGTCTATCTGTCCTTGAGGTCTAAAGTCCAATTCTGAGTTATCACACTTTGAATATGGACACTGACATCCGTGACTAGATCCCAAGAACATTAATCACAACTCAGGACTGTGGCCTAAGTCACTAGAAGAACTGTAACTGTTTAGCCCAGAATACAGAAGACTTATTGGGTACGAACTCTGCTTCCAGATATCTCAGAAAGCTGTTCCATGGGACTTTATCTGCACTATGTACAGACTAACTTGATAGCCCCAGAAGGTAGAACAAGACCAACGTGTAATTATAGAGAAGCAGAGATTATCTCATTTAATTAAAAAAAAAAAAGGCAGGTATAGGTTAAGCTGCAGTTTGGGATGCCTGCATCCTATATTAAGAGTGACTGGGATTGAGTTCCATCTCTGCTTACAATCCAGCTTCCTGCTAATGTGCAGGCAGCATATATTGGCCCAAGCACATGGGAGACTCAGGTGAAATTCTTGGTTCCTGGCTTTGGTCTGGTTTAGCACTGGTTCTTACAGGTATTAGGGGAGTGAATCAGCAGATGGAAGCATGTTCTCTTGTTCTGCCTTAAAAAAAAAGAAAGACCTATATGCCACTGGATTCTGTTCCTTGTTTAAACGTTTCTACAGTCAGATCTTTTATGAAAAGTGACTGATGTTGAATTGTTATTCTGTAATTTGTTATTAATTACATTTTACATGTGATATAACAGGAAGTATCCAAGGTCACACAACCAGTAACTGGTAGGTCTTAGACTGACTCCAAAATCATGCTCTTAACCACTGCTAAGCTATTAGTAACTACCAGTGAAATACAGAGGATTTCTGTGTTGAGAATCAGAAAGAAGTTTGGCTAATGAGTCTTCTCAAGATTCTACAGGCTGGCGCCACGGCTCACTAGGCTAATCCTCCGCCTGCGGCGCCGGCACCCCGGGTTCTAGTCCTGGTCGGGGGGCTGGATTCTGTCCCGGTTGCTCCTCTTCCAGTCCAGCTCTCTGCTGTGGCCCGGGAGTACAGTGGAGGATGGCCCAAGTCCTTGGGCTCTGCACCCGCATAGGAGACTAGGAGGAAGCACCTGGCTCCTGCCATCGGATCGGCACAGCGTGCCAGCCGTAGTGGCCATCTGGGGGGGTGAACCAATAGAAAAAGGAAGAAAGACCTTTCTCTCTCTCTGTCTAACTGCCTGTCAAAAAAAAAAAAAAAAATTCTACAATCAAGTAAATCAAAGAATGAGCATAAATAAAATAAACAAGCAAGAATGAATTAAAGTGGACGTTCTTGTGAATGTATGGCTACTTGGTAGTGAGGTTATGTATAGATGTGGTTTGTTAGAAAGAAAGTGAAGTAACATGACCAGAGGGAACACCTGCTTAGAGGACATGAAAGAGCCAGAACTCCAAGCTCCAGGGGTTGCAGGGCTGAGCCTCTGTGGAAGGCAGTTACTCAAACAGAAGTCAGGGCCTGGGAAACCGCAGGGAAAAGCAGGAGTTGGAAATTCCCTGAATGAAAAATGTCCCCATTGGGAAATGTGAACCAATGTCATCAAGAGAGAGGACAGGGGCTGCTGGCAAGGCCTGCATTCAACAGAATAGCATTTGTACCATGGCAGCAGAATGCATTCATTGCAAAGCTTTAATGGTGTGATTTCAGACATCTGTAGGTAGAAAAGCAGGGCAAGTTAGGGGGGATTAAAGTGCCTATTACAAAGGTATATATAGAAAGAGATAGAGATACAGCTATATATATTTTACAAAACCACTATCTCATTTGATCTTCACTTCAGCCAGCTCTGGGAGAGAGGAAAGCAACAATAGGAAACAACATGAGATTTGAAATAACCCTGCAGCTCCCAGACCAACAGCAGTCACCATTCTTTCTCCACTACAAATACAGTACAAATATACTACTTAAGGGCAAGAGCTCCAACTCCAGGTCTGCCACTCATCAGATGTTATGCCCAAAGCAAGTTACTTAATTTTCAGGCCCAGTTTCCTCCTGTGAAATGGGGATACTAACATGGACCTCTCCTAAAGCATTCAGCAGTGGAAGCCACAGTGTGGTCGTCACTGTCATTCTTTTGTCATTGACTAAATGAACACATTACTTACCTCTTGGAGCACAAGGATCCCTCACCAGCAAAACTGAACTAGCAATGCTTACTTCCCTGGGTGATTTACAAAGGTTAGCGGCAATATAAATGGAAAGCATTCTCATGTTAGCTGAATCTGAGTGAACCATGGAAGCCTCTGGAAATTGAGACTGAGTTTGAAGTGTGCTCCTACTTTTGCATTATAACTGCATGACCTTGACTGAATGATAACCCCTCAGAGCCTCAATTTCCTCATTTGTAACACAGGACTTACAATAGATGCATGACACAGAGATGCTGTGAGGATCCAATGTGCACACAACAAGCACTCAACAAGAGCCATTGTTTGTACTGCTTTTTCCTCCAAAAACCTCACACAGGGCTTTTCTCGCACTGAAGGGAAAAAGCACAGACCCTGATGTACTCTGAGCTCTGTGGAAACTGAAGCCCAGGCCCAGATCTGGGATAAGGAGTCACCTGCACCGAATGCCCAGTCCTCAACCCTCGCCTCAGCACCAGGTGGAGAGCATCCTCATCCCTGCTCGTGGAACGCTTCTCTGCAAAGGCCAGGAAGGTGTGGGCAGGGGGGACGTAGAGCAGGGCTGGGATCCGGTAGGTAATCCCTCTCTTGTCTTCCTGCTGGAACAGAGGACTGTTGAAGGAGCACGCTGTCATTTCTTCCATGACCTCTGTAAGGACAGGAGGCAGCTCAATGTGTATGCATACCCAGATGCTGGCCTGCATACCAGGTCTGCTCTATCATTCCACTTCTAGAGAGCACAGGGGAGGCACGGGTGCACCCAAGTATTTATTTTATACAAAGGCAACATCATGGTCTCAACAGCACAAAGCAAACAATATGTATTCTCAGGTTAACAAATCTGTTCTTCAGACTCTAGGGGTATCCTACAGAGCCTGCATCAAGCATGTCTGTATCCAGAGGGGCTCTGCATTTGCCTCTGTCAAACATCCAGGGGTATACCAGCCAGGGATGGTTTTTGATATCAATTTATTGGTGTAAGGTTTCCAGGCCATTCAGGCAATATAAATAAAAATCCAGCTAGATCCCTATGAGTAATGCCTGTGTTTAACAGTTCTCCAGGGAAACCTTTTCCCTGTACTGGAGCCTAAGATCAAATGCAACCTTTTATGTCAGTAGGAAGAGTTCCCTGCCTTGTCTACCCTATCAGAGTATATAGATTATCATGGGACCTAGTTTCACGTAGGGCTCTCAATTCTAACTAGAGTCTAACCCATGCGGACCGGCAGCTTTATTTGCTGTGACAACAGGCCTCTTAACACCCACACTTCTGGGTGAGGGCAGCAAGCATGCAGGGCTGTGGAGGGCAGGTGAAGGAGATGTCTGCTCTGGTGCTCAGTTTGTTCTTGGCTTCAAGTCCCTTAGGATTTCTTACTTTCTGGCAAATTCAGCTACAAGGGGTTCATTATAATTTATCCGTCATTTGACAGCAAAGTCAGCTTGTCACAAAGCTGACAATGAAGGTCTCCCAGTACGCTTCTCAAAGAAAACAGGTGTTCTGCTTCTCTGAGGCCCAAAAAGGAAGTCAAGCAGACAAAACCAAGCTTAGAATTGTTTTTTCCCTCAGACTGTCATCCAAGCCCTACCTTTTTTTTAAAATATTTATTTATTTATTTATTTATTTGAAAGGCAGAGTTACAGAGAGGCAGAGGGCAGCGGCGGCGGGGTTGGGGTTGGGGGTGGGGGTGTCTTCCATTTGGCCGCAATGGCTGGAGCTGTGCTGATCCAAAGCCAGCAGCCAGGAGCTTCTTCTAGGTCTCCCATGTGGATGCAGGGGCCCAAGGACTTGGGCCATCTTCTACTGCTTTCCCAGGCCATAGCAGAGAGCTGGATCAGAAGTGGAGCAGCCGGGACTCAAACCGGCACCCATATGGGATGCCAGCACTACAGGTGGCAGTTTTACCTGCTATGCCACAGCGCTCACCCCCAAGCACTATCTTACAAATTATTTAAATGTGATCAGGATGTAAAAACTAGCTTTAAGGCCTTCTTCATTCATTCAATAAATATTTCTAGGTGCCTGAAGGCCATAATGTGGGTGTTGAGGAGATGGAAAGAATCAGAGGTTCCTGCTCTCAAGAAACCCACATCCAGCCAGCATGTGCCTAGCAGGTTAAACTACCACCTGCGATGCCCACATCCCATATGGGTGCCAGGTCTTAGGAGCGCCGATTTAAGATTCGGCTGCTCCACTTCCAATCCAGCTCCTTGCAAATGAACCTGGGAAAGGGGCAGAACATGGCTCAAGTCCTTGGGCCCTGCATCCATATGACCCAGATGAAGCTCCTGGCTCATGGCTTTGCCCTGGCCCAGCCCTGGCCATTGCAGCCATCTGGGGAATGAACCAGCAGATGGAAGTTGTTTCTATGTATATCTTTCCCTCTCTCTGTAACTCTGGCTTTCAAATAAATAAAACAAATCTTAAAACAACAACAACAAAAACTCTGTCTCTTCCTTTCTTTTTGCCACCCTGCCTTTCAAATAAATTATTAAAAAAAAAAAAAAAAAAGCTGTGAGCAGAGATGTGACTGTAGGAGTTCAGCAGAGTACAGGCCTTGGAAAGCTTTGCCACCTTGTTCAGTGTTATCCCACATACAGGGAGTCACTCAAGAGTGTGGACAAAGGAACAGTCTGATCATTTTGGACTGATCTCTCAGGCATCTTTCTGGGCAGTGAACCATGGGACAAAGGTACACTGCTTTTAGTACAAAGGTACACTGCTGGCTGGCGCCGCGGCTCACTGGGCTAATCCTCCGCCTTGCGGCGCTGGCACACTGGGTTCTAGTCCCGGTCGGGGCACCGGATTCTGTCCCGGTTGCCCCTCTTCCAGGCCAGCTCTCTGCTGTGGCCCGGGAGTGCAGTGGAGGATGGCCCAAGTACTTGGGCCCTGCACCCCATGGGAGAGCAGGAGAAGTACCTGGCTCCTGCCATCGGATCAGCGCGGTGCGCCGGCCGCAGCACGCCGGCCACGGCGGCCATTGGAGGGTGAACCAACAGCAAAGGAAGACCTTTCTCTCTGTCTCTCTCTCTTACTATCCACTCTGCCTGTCAAAAAAAAAAAAAAAAAAAAATTAAAAAAAAAAAAAAGGTACACTGCTACTAGTGATGGTCAAGTCAAGCATCAAGAATCAAGAATTAAGAATCAAAGAATGATTCATTTAGTACTTGTTTCTACCTTAAGAGAGAATTGGAGGCTACAGGGACTGGGGGAAGTGGTTTCATTGCATTCAGAAGAGAGGCCTCCCCTTACTGCAATGCTGGACTGTTAGCACAAGATCACAAGATAGGTGAGGTAGATGGCCTTCTTCACACGATACTACAACATGCCTCATTCCCTCCAGCTGGGCTTTCCTGCCCAGAAAGGTCAGGCTGTCTTTCACGTAAACATCTGGCCCTGAGCCAGGCTGCTGTAATGGTTAACACCGGATTGGGACCAGGCAGGACGACATGCCCTTATGCATGTTCTTTTCTTTTTTTAAAAGATTTATTTATTTTATTTGAAAGAGTTACAGAGAGGAGAGGCAGGCAGAGAGAGAGAGAGAGGGAGAGAGAGAGAGAGAGGTCTTCATCCGCTGGTTCACTCCCCAATTGGCCACAAATGGCTGGAGCACAATGCCCGGAGCTGCACTGATCTGAAGCCAGGAGCCAGGAGTTTCTCCCAGGTCTCCCACGTGGGTGCAGGGCACCAAGGACTTGGGCCATCTTCTACTGCTTTCCCAGGACATAGCAGAGAGCTGGATCAGAAGTGGAGCTGTCAGGACTCAAAGTGGCACCCATATGAGATGCTGGCATTGCAGGCAGTGGCTTAACCCACTACACCACAGCACCAGCCCCATGCATGTTCTTTAACTTCTTTCTGCTTCAGGATCCTCGCCTATAAAATCCAGTAGAGTGGCTGACAGAATTAACAGCTTTAAGAAGCTGTTATAAGTCCTATGACATAGCATGAGAACAATATGACAATTATTTAGACTATCAAGCACTACATATTCTAGTTTTATTTCTTGACTCTTGTGAGTGATAACAAAAATACAGTCATGGAGGCTGGCGCTGTGGCATAGTAGTTTGGGCCTCCGTCTGCAATGCGGCATCCCAAATGGGCACGGGTTCAAGTCCCAATTGTTCTACTTCCAATCCAGCTCCCTGCTGGTAGCATGGGAAGGCAATGGAAGATGGCCCAAGTCCTTGGGCTCCTGCACCCACGTGTTAGACCCAGAAGCAGCTCCTGGCTCCTGGCTTCAGATCAGCCCTGCTCCAGCTGTTGTGGTCATTTGGGGAGTGAACCAGCAGATGGAAGACCTATCTGTCTCTCCCTCTGTCTGTAAGTCTGCCTCTCAAATAAATAAATAAATCTTTAAAAAAAAAAAAAAGTACAGTTATCTGTCACATAACCGTGGGCCACACACACACAATGATAGTCCCATAATACTAGAGTGGAGGGCCGGTGCCGCGGCTCACTAGGCTAATCCTCTGCCTTGCGGCGCCGGCACACCGGGTTCTAGTCCCAGTCGGGGCGCTGGATTCTGTCCCAGTTGCCCCTCTTCCAGGCCAGCTCTCTGCTGTGGCCAGGGAGTGCAGTGGAGGATGGCCCAAGTGCTTGGGCCCTGCACCCCATGGGAGACCAGGATAAGTACCTGGCTCCTGGCTCCTGCCATCGGATCAGCGCAGTGCGCCGGCTGCAGTGCACCAGCCACGGCGGCCATTGGAGGGTGAACCAATGGCAAAGGAAGACCTTTCTCTCTGTCTCTCTCTCTCACTGTCCACGCTGCCTGTCAAAAAAAAAAAAAAAAAAAAAGAAAGAAAAAAAAAAAAAGAGTGGAGCTGAAAAATTCCCATCACTTAATGATGTCTTGCCATCTTAGCAGCATCATACAATGCATTCATGTGTGTGCTGATGCTGGAGTAAACAAACCTACTGCATTGCTCATCATATAAAATTATGAGTATAGCACATAAAATCACATATAGGACATAATACCTGAAATGATAAAAAAAAAAAAAGACTATGTTACTGGTTTATGTATTTACTGGACTGGACTTTCACTGTTATTTAGGTGTGCTCCCTCTACTTATTAAGAAGAGCTGGCTGTAAAACAGTGTGCAGTGATATACCCACAGTAGCCTTTTATATCTCACATTTACTGACTCTGATTGCATTATTTTCTCTTGTGCTTGTTTTGATTTTGTGTTTTGTTTCTCATGGCCCCAGAAGCAATAGTCTATACAATTTGTATACTCCACATAGCCTAGCTGTGTGGTATGCTCTATCATCTACATCTGTGTAAGTATACCCAATGACAAAATTATCTAACAATGCATTTTTTAGAAGGTAGCCCTATCATTATATGCTTCACTTCTTAAAAGCATTTAAATCCCTCTTTACCTCTGGGAGAGATCATATTTTAAGCTCTTATAAGTGTTCACACTTTTTTTAATGAGTTATACCACACAATTAGTCATCAGCAAGCACATGACTATTTGTTAACATATAGTTCACTAATATACATTAACAGTCCCAGTTCTGCTGGGACTAAGAAGAATGGGACACAGAACAGGCAGGGAGTGGGATGGAAGGAGTAGGGAGATCACTAATGGAGAAGCATAACTTGTCCTAAGGACTGGATTCACAGCCCAGCCCTAGTTCATACCATCCGACCTCGTGCTGGTTACTCAATCTCTCCCTTGCTTGTAAAACATAGATAATACATGCTTAAGAGGATCAACATGAAGAACTACTTCAAAGAGCTTCATAAACTTTAAAGCACTGTATAATAATAGTCTGTAATAATTACAATTTTTGATGTCTTCACAATTGCACTTAGGGCTCTGCTACTGCTCTAACAATTAGTTATTATGTTTATGAATTATGATTATGCTGATCATGTGCAGGACAGTATAACTGGTGGCTTTGGTATTGCCACCCAAACTATTTCATGCAATCATGCGCTGGGAACTAGGGACAGAGAAGAATCGGCTATAGGTCTACTTTGGACTTGTTCATATTGATGAATAATTCAAATTCGTAATTGCTGCTCTATACAATCACCTTCCAATGAAGTCCTGCCTGTCCTCTTGCTGGGAGAGAATATTATGTGGCATGGGCTCTGAAGTCTGACTTGGCTTTGATGCTTATTAGCAAGTCACTTTACCATTGAGCCCCAGTTTCCTCACCTGGAAAATGGGATTAAAACCACCTATTTCAGGCTAAAATCACGATGTAATTCCACACTTCACAGTTTTCCCAGTGAGCCTCCAGTGAAGCCCAGAAGGAGGCTTTTTTCGTTCACTCCTAACAATTAACATTTAGAGAACACCTGCCACGTGGCAGATCTTTGAAGATCCAGGAGTCTAAACCCCTCTTGGTACATTTGGGAAACTCAGGCCCATGGAGGTGGACATTTTTGAATAAGGCTTCTTGATAGCAAAGGCTGGACCCAGTCCCAGGTCTCCCAAATTCCAGCAGCTTAGGGCTCTCTCCACCGCCTACAGACCCCCTCTCTAGTTAGAAGCGTTTCCCCAGTCAGCTCCCCTCCATCTCTGCGATGCTAATTCTAAGGTATAAATCTGGCTTCAGGGGGAAGAACACAAGAAATGAAGCAGCCAAAAATAGTCTCCAGCTGTCAGAACCTAGCTGGCAGGGCGGCTCTGACTCGAAATTCCCTGGCGATTGGATTTCCCAAACGCAGGCAGCGCTGCTCAAACTGTCCCCAGAGCCACAGGGCCCCACTTCCGAGGGAGCCCTCCTGACTCCCTGCTCGGCTCACCTGCCCGGGCCCCTGGCTCCTCGGGCTTTCTGGAGACAGAGCTGGGCGCAACGGGCTCTTCCATGGGCGCAGGGACAAGTCTTCAAGTCTCGGACACCGAAGCTCCGGAGAACCACCCGCACGGAGGCTGGGAGATGAGGGCAGCGCAGCGAGCGACGGGGACAGAGGAGGACAGGGAGAAACACTGAGGACACTGAGAACAGCCCGGAGAAGCGGCGAGCAGGCAGCGACTGAGGGCAGGGCGACAGGGACCCGGAGCCCGACAGGGAGACCAGCGAGGACTGGAGGCCGCGCGGTGGCCGTTGGGACCAGCAGTTGGCTCCCGGCGGGAGCCCGCCCCGCCCCTGGGGCCGGCCCGGCCGTAGCCCCGCCTCGGACGTCCCCCCTCGCTCGCGTCGCCCGCGACGGCGCTTCCATCTATTGGTTGCCGGCGGATAGGTATCACCGCCTAAAACTTCCCTGGACAGCCTGAGAGGCTAGCAAAAGTTCCGAGCTTCAGAAGGAGTTCTACAAAAGGGACCAGAAGGTAGGGAGCACTGCAGAAAAAACAGATTTGTACTGTATATGTAATTTATCTTATATGTGTGTTTACACACCTTTATACGTTTTTGTCATAAGGCACTGAGACCATTCTGTCACGGAAATTAATTCCCTTCTGCCTCCCAAAGCGGAAAAGACTAAGGTCACTTTGTTGGAGCCACCTACAGCGTAAAGGAATCGGGAACACTGATTAAGCGGGGAAGACTTCTTCTAACTTAGAGGACTTCGAAATGAAAACTTTGGTAACTTGGCATGCATGATGGAATTTCGTTGGTGCCCTAAAGAACGAGCTCACAAAAGGGCAGGGTTTTCGCCAAAGAACACAGAAATCAACCAGAATACAACCTGATGTGTTTGTCTTAAAAACAAACCAAAAAAAAAAAAAAAAAAAAACTAACCCGGTAGCAGTGAGCACAAATACTACTACTTCCTCCTAAAAGTATCCAGGGTTCCCTGGAAAAATGTCTGACTTCAGATACACGGAAGAAAAAAAAAATTGTCCCATCATCAAGTAAGGGAGTTATAAAAGGCTATGGGGATTATGTCAAAAGAAGACAAGAACCAACCAGAAGGTGATCCCACTGGCCAAATATGGGAAAATCTGAGCAACAAAAGGAATACTGACTGCAAAAGATCAAAGTAAATGTTAAACTTCATTGACATATGGAGAAAAAAGTCTGTTTGGTTACCACAGGGGTTGCTAAAGAATGAATCAAGCTTTTATTCTGCCTTTACTATACAAACCATATTTCAGGGTAGCCAAATAGTTGATAGGGGAAAGTTCTTTATAAAACAGTTAGCTAATAACTCCCAAAATAATTACAGAATTAGAATTTCATCACTTTGCAACCTATGATTAAATATGAATCTAGACAATAATTATCAATGGCTGCTGAAACCATTTGGTGAAAAGTTGGTACAAAATTTTATAATAGAAGGACAGGGTCCAAATTATGTGAATCATAACACAAGAGAGGCAACAAGATGTGTGGCCTACTGATGAGATGTAGTAAGAACTACATAGCCCCCTTTATTCTTGCTAAAAAATAAGACCTGAATCTCCAGAAGAAAACATGTTAAATGACACCATTAAGATGCAAACAGCCAAATCCTCAACATGGAAAATTCCACAGGAAAAATAACATGATTTCTGAACAAATGGCTAGAAAATATAAAGATTGTAGAAACATAGTATAGACTAAAATAAAAACTCTGAACCTTGTTTGGATTCTAGTTTGGATAAGCCAACTCTAAAAAGACATTGAAATTGGATTTTCTTAAGTAGCAATAATGGTATAGTAGTTATGTTTTAAGAAAATGCAACCATGAATACATTGAGTCCCATATCTTAGTCTCTAACTTCTTTATCTAATAAAAGGAATCAAGACTTCTTGAGAACATGTTGATTCCAGGAATGAAGCAGGGAAAAATACAAGAAAAGTGTGGAATATCTTATGGCACCAGAAAGGAAGAAAGAGCTCACAAAAGGGCAGAATTTTTTCAACACAGGAGCCAAACAGAAGGAGCTCCTAATGGCCAAAGCTTAAACTTTGGATGAGAAAATAAATATTGATAATACTAGATTATAATCTATAGAATAAAGTGAAAAATGAGTCTATATTAATACAGTTGAATAATTTGGAAGGGATATCTCTTCCTTATAGTACAATGCCAATTAATAAACATAGAAAAAGGAAATAGAGGACCACTATTAGCTTCCCTTTAAAGGCCTGGCTAGAGGACTTTAGTTATCCTAACAAGACGACATAGAAAATAGCATCTGTGGACTGGCATGATTCATGGCTGTCTTTCAGTGTTTCATTCCAAGGCTAAGGCTTTGCCATGGTGTCAGTGGATTCTGCTTTCCTGTTGTGATGGACACTGGGAACAAGTCCCAGATTCCCCTTCAGTGAAGTCATGTTGCCTCAGCTGTTGGGAGTACTGTCAGGAGTCTTTAGCTGTCACATTCTTCAGAGATTGCTGCAGCTACAGGAAGCTGCTTCATCCCAAATCATGCTCTTTCCCAGGTTGTCCCAAGTTTAAAACCCAATATCTAATATGAGAACATAAAGGTCTGGCCATTCTGGTCCAACTCAGCTTCAGAGCAACCCACACAGTCAGTTAAGATTGTCAGTGCAGAGCAGACGTTTGACCTAGCAGTTAAGACGCTGCTCAGGATGCTGGATTCCTTATCAAAGCGCCTGGGTTCGAGTCTTAGCCATACTCTGGATTCCAACTTCCTGCTAATACATACATCATCAGCAAGTGATGGCCCATGTACTTCAGTCTCTGCTACCCATGTGGGAGATCTGGATTGAACTCTAGGTTCTCAGTCCCAGCCTGGCCTAGCCCTGGCTGTTGCAGGCATTTGGTGAGTGAATCAGTAGTTGAGAACTCTCTCAAATAAATAAATAAATGAAAAATTTAAAAGAAAAGATTGTCCTTGGGCCTGTATCATATCTCAACTCCCTCTGCCCTGTTAGCATGCATACCTTCCCTTCCACAAGCATTGGTTTCAAGAGTACTACTTCGTAGGCACCTTGCCAAGCTCCATTTTAACTGCTTCCTGGGCAGCCCAATCTGAAACACCTGAATGGCAGTGACTGGGCTATCTGTAGGCTGGCTCCAAATCCTTTAATATATTTTCCACATTCAGAGCACTGGTCTAGGGTCCCTGGTCAGTGTATTAGGGGTCCTCAGAAGAGACCACGTCGGGTCACCTCTCTACACACATGTTTTAACACCAATTTTATTATCCTGAAATGAAAAATTATTTAGTTATATATTTTTAAATTGATGAAATAACACTTTTAAAAGGGAAATAAATGAAACACAATTGTTGACGAATAATATATATTCCTATATATAAATTCTCTACTATGACTACACTAGGCAGTATAATGAAGCAGTCAGATGCTTGTATCTAAACACAGGATCACCATGAATTTGGCAGCTCTGAAAGCAATGCTGAAGAAATCACATAGACTCTCAGTCTTCAAGCATGTCTCTTAGGAAGCAGGTATATTATTACCCAAGGTTCTTACCCTTCAAGTCTGATAATGCTGGTATGTTTTTTATCTCTCCCCAATAGGATTAGACCCATTATCAGGCGGCAGACTTGCTTGATCATGTACATCTTACTGGCCACCTTCTTGTGTCATTTCCTCACTTTCTTATGGCGGTCCCTGCATCTCCCAAATACAGTATTGGCATTCAGACCTTGGTCTCAGAGTCTGCCACTGGGAGAACCCAAACTAAGGCCCTTACACTAGAAAAAACAGCTGAATATTAATGAGCTAAGGATCTGACTTAATAACTTAAAAAAGAACAGAATAACCCCCAAAAGTAGAAATGTAAATGATGAAAATAAGAGCAAAAATAAATAAAAAAGAAAGCAAAGGTAACAACAGGGAGGTATCAAAACAGGCAAATATTATTTGAGAAAACTGGAAAGACCCATTAAGAAAAAAAAATGTAAACATGGAAACAGCAGAGATCAGGGATAATCAAGGAATGCTTACAAACTCCATTCAGTAAGTTGGAAAATCTAGATAAAGAGAACATAGCTTTAGAAAAATAGAAGTTATGGGGCCGGTGCTGTGGTGTAGTGGGTAAAGCCACTGCCTATGGGCACCAGTTCAAGTCCTGGCTGCTCCACTTCTGATCCAGCTCCTTGCTATGGCCTGGGAAAGCAGTAGAAGATAGCCTGAGTCCTTGGGCCCCTGAACCCGCATGGGAGACCTGGAAGAAGCTCCTGGTTTCTGGCTTCGAATTGGCCCAGCTCCAGCCGTTGTGGCCAACTGGGGAGTGAACCATTGGATAGAAGGACCCTCCCCCATCTCTACCTCTCTCTGTAACTCTGACTTTCAAATAAACAAATAGATCTTTAAAAAAAAAGAGAGAGAGAGAAAAATAGAAGTCACAAACTGACTCAATAAGATATGGCAAACAGGAAGTCCTACAACTTTTTTTAATCATTTAAAACTCTATCCACAAAAAATTACACAATCAGTCCAACCAACTTTTTGAGTTCCACCAAACATGCAAGGACCAAATAATTCCAATCTTATTTTCCCTTCACTAATAGTGTGAATGCAAATTGTTATAGTCACCTTGGAGAGAAATGTGGCAACAGCTAGACCAGCTGGAGATGTGTATCCTTTCCTACCCAGGAATCCCATTACTAGGTATTACCCATGCAAGAATGCTCATAGTAGCAAATTTGTAATAGTAAAGAATTGTAAAAGGCCTAAATGTCCATTGATAGAAAAAAATTGTTAATAATAGATAGCAGTAAAAAAGAATAAATTATAGCTTGAAGTATCAGTATAAAGGATCTTCACAAACACAATATTGAGCATAAAAGCAAATTGTGCTGGCGCCGCGGCTCACTAGGCTAATCCTCCACTTGCGGCGCCAGCACACCGGGTTCTAGTCCCGGTCGGGGCACCAGATTCTGTCCCGGTTGCTCCTCTTCCAGGCCAGCTCTCTGCTGTGGCCCGGGAGTGCAGTGGAGGATGGCCCAGGTGCTTGGGCCCTGCACCCGCATGGGAGACCAGGAGAAGCACCTGGCTCCTGCCATCGGATCAGCGCGGTGCACCAGCCGCAGTGCACTGGCTGCAGTGGCCATTGGAGGGTGAACCAACAGAAAAGGAAGACCTTTCTCTCTGTCTCTCTCTCTCACTGTCCACTTGTCCTGTCAAAAAAAAAGCAAATTGCACAATATTGAGAGAATTATACTGGCACCAAAGAGTTAA